AAAAATGATTTTCGTCTAAACCGGTTTGACCGGTTTAGGGCCGGTTTGACCGGTCGACCGCCGCATGACCGGTCTTGTTGGATAGCATTTTTTCGCCGAAATTATTTGGAGGTGTTTTCGGAATTTTTTGGTGCTCGGTTCGGCCGATAAATAGGTTAGAAGGTGGGACATTATTTTTTAAAAAAAAAATAAGGATAAAGGGCAAAACTGTCATTTTAGGGTGCGGTATTAGTAAAATGGGTGCGGTATTTAGCAATTCAGATTTAATAATTTTAGTTAATCTTAATTAAACCTTTGGGGTCAATCCTACAAGCTGTGGTGGCGCTTCAGGGAGGAAAAGTCGCTTTGGGCTCAGTACCTTCGCGGCAAGTACTGCCCTAGACGTGCCAACCACCCTTGTTGGGTGACGGCAGTTGATCATGATAGCAGACACTGGCGGCGCCTCACTAGGGTCGATAGCGCGCCCAGGATCACATCTTCTGGGTTTTGGGCGAGGGCGAGGTTAGTTTTTGGGATGAGTGGTGGGTAGGTGATAGGCTGTTGTCTAGGGATAGACAGGTGTCGTATTCCCCCTACCTGCTTGTGAGTGACCTTTGGACAGACGGTTCGTGGGATAGGGGGAAGCTAGATAGGGAGTTGGGCTCTGGTGCGGGTTTTAGCGAGCATTTATTAGATCAGATCCAGCAGATCCCCATCTCTGGGGACGGTTCGGATGGCATGAGGTGGAGATTTACATCATCGGGTGTGTTTTCTACTACCTCGGCTTGGGAGCAGATCAGGCTGAGAGATCGGCCTAATCTTCTCTTCAGGGCCATCTGGAGAGACCTTTTCACCCCTACCATTTCGGTGTTCCTTTGGCGTCTCCTCTTGTGTCGGATACCCGTGGACACTCTGCTACATGCGAGGGGGATCTCTTTCCCCTCTCGGTGTGTGTGTTGTTCTGAGACTGGACGCCATGAGACCGAGACCTTTTCACACCTTTTTCTAGAGAGTGAGATTGTGAGAAGAGTGTGGGAGCATTTTGCCACTTGGACCCATATATCCCTACCCACCACAGACAGTCTATTTGAGCTCCTGAGTTTTTTCTCACAGAGCACACACCTTAGTCGCGTGGGCTTCCTCATTCCTTGTCTGATTATTTGGTTCACCTGGACGGAAAGGAATAGTGCAAAGCATAGGGATATTGCTTTTTTGTTTTCTCACATTGTTTTGCAGGTAGAGAGACACATTTCACTCCACATAGAATTGGGCAGGCTCACGACCCGAGGCTGGACAGGCTACACGCCACCACACCGCTACATGGTGGCCCCCCCCACCGACTGTTCGGCCCCCTCGGCCCAGAGCTGTTGTTTGGCTTCAACCCGACTCTCCAGAGGGGGCTTGATCTGGGACCACAGCGGCGCCCTCATCACCGCCTTCCACACGCCCCTTCAGGCCTCCTCGAGCTACGACGCAGAGATTCAGCCATTACAATTTGGCCTTCAGATTGTTGTCCACCTCTCTAGTCATATTTGGATCGAGTTGGACGCTATGGCTGTCGCCACCCACCTGACCTCGGGCCACCAGGGCTCGTGGCAGATTTAGCACCCGCTTATGCACATTAGAGCTCTACTTCCGTATGTCCATTACAGGATCACGCACATTTTCTGTGAGGGGAACAGACCTGCTGACTACTTTGCCAGCCTTGGTGCCACCATACCAGACCCACATACGTTTCAGACCGACACTGCTCCACTCCGCCTTCGCAATCTAGTACGGATGGACCAGCTTGGATATCCATCGTTCCGCTTTCAGTAGATTAGGTTTATTGCTTTCATTAGATTAGACTTTTTATTCCACGCACATGTTAGCCCACAGACAGACTTTGTTTTGTTTTTTCGTTTTTGTTTTTTTGTTTTGCTTGTGAGACTCTGTAGACTGTTGTATATTGATATTTTGGGCCCCGTTTTGGGGTCTTGATCTATTTACAGGTTGGGGATCCAGCCCAATCTCCCGCCCCTCTGGGGCGTTGTTTGTTTTTTAAAAAAAAAAAATAAATAAATANTATTAGTAAATTCTATGCAAACAACTATTATTCTATCGATATCAGCATTTCGTATAGAAGTTATTATCTCAGTTAATCAAATTGAATTCTCTCAATTCATGTGGGATTACACCAAAAATTCGAGTTCCTTTTGATGCAGAAGTACCTTTTTTTATACTACCCCTATTATTTTTAAATGTCATTTTTGCTTTATTAACTATTAATAAAATAAATGTCGTTTTAGATCTTTTGTACATATTTTTTCATTATTACCCTCATTTAGCTAATAAATACACTACGTCTTTTCATATTTACTCTTCATTTTTTCCCAAAACATCATTCTCTATCTTAATTAAAGAGGGTTATTATTGGCAAAAAAATATTCTTAATTACTGTGCAACTTCTTAAAACGACACTTATTATGAATAGGAGGGAGTATAATTTTTATTATAATGTTTATTTACCTTTTTTTCCACGATCATAATGTTTCTGTGTAGTGTTTACTTAAGTCCAGACATAAACTTTTAGAATATTTTTTTATATTAATTTGATGTTCATACTTAGTTTATTTATTTTTTCTAAATATAATAGCTATATTATAGTATGTTAATACACTTAAATTTTTATTGCTTTATAAGATAAAATATAACTTTATTTGATAGTTTTATTAACATTTTTATATTTTATTTACAAGACTATATATCATTGTCTTATTTTGTATATATAATATGGATGTCAAATCAAAGATCATTAAAAGATAAATAATTTGATATATCATACATAAAAATAAAATACAAACCAAAAAGTTATTAAATTTTAAAAATAAGAAGAATAACCATTATAATAATTAGTGTATGAATTAAATAAGAAAATAAAATTTAATATAAGGTAATGTAGGAAAAATAAAACTTAAAATAGTTTATAATAAGTAATCCACCCTATATATAATTGCAGAATGCGTTGAGCCTAAATGACACGCTCTCATGCTTCGGAATCCTATGTGTCACAAATATATAGGGTGGATTTTGTCCAATTTTTTTTTTTAAAAAAGCCACTTGTTCATTTTAATTTTTTTGTTGGGACAAAAACAATCTTTTTTTTATACCCCTCCTATTTTTATTATTTATCATCCTAGTTTAATTGATCATTTGTTAAATAAATGTCGTTTTTGGCTATTTTGTGCATATTTTTCCATTATTACCCTCATCTAACTAATAAATACACTACGTCTTTTCATATTCACTCTCCATCTTTTCTCAAAACATCAATCTCTAGTCTTATTAATGAGGATTATTATTGACAAAAAAATATTGTTAATTATTGTGCAACTTCTCAAAACGACGTTTATAGTCTTATTAATGAGGATTATTATTGACAAAAAAATATTGTTAATTATTGTGCAACTTCTCAAAACGACGTTTATTAAAAATAAGAGGGAGTATATATTATAAAAATGTGTGAAAACGGGATTTTTCAGCAATATCATTTTACTTCGAAATTCCCCTATTGAAAATGTCGAGAAGAGCCAATAAATCAAGTCATTTTACTTTGAAATTCCCCTATTGAAAATGTCGAGAGGAGCCAATAAATCAAGTCATTTTCCACGAAGTCAAAAAAGTACAATTAAAATGAAGATAATCTGCAGATCACACTATTATTCTCCTCAACAAAAAAATCCATCTTTTATCACGCTGAAAGCCTAACCAAATCATCCTTAGCTATTTAGTAGCATCGCAGAAGAAATATTTCTTCGAAAGAATACAACGATTGAAAGAA